ACTTCTTGGTGGTGTTGGGGCGTCCCCCAGATCGCCTAAAGCGATTATATAGACATGCTTTGCAATAATTCTCAACATCTTTTTTCATACCGTACCAGTATGAAAACTTTTGACATCTTGCTAATGTAACTTGTACACCCACATGCCCTGCAGGTAGCATAGAGTGTGCCAGTTTCAAAGCTTGATGTTTATAAGAATTAGGCATTACAATCTGTCTAATCATTTCACCATAATTATTTTTACTCTATCTATATAAAATGTTATTATCCACATTCATTTCTTCTAGATTCAATTTTCCTACTTCCTTTTTGTGCTTACTTAACTCTTTCTGAATTGTGTCGACATCATAACCTTCCTTTAATAATTGTTTCAATAATCCATAATACTCATCTTCATCTTGAAAGCTCATAATAATTGTTTCAATAATTCCTAATACTCATCTTCATCTTGAAAGCTCATAATAATTGTTTCAATAATTCCTAATACTCATCTTCATCTTGAAAGCTCATAATAATTGTTTCAATAATTCCTAATACTCATCTTCATCTTGAAAGCTCATAATAATTGTTTCAATAATTCCTAATACTCATCTTCATCTTGAAAGCTCATAATAATTGTTTCAATAATTCATTATACTTATCTTCATCTCATAATCTCATGATAATTGTTTCAATAATTCATACTACTCATCTTCATCTCATAATCTCATAATAATTGTTTCAATAATTCATAATACTCACTTTCATCTCATAATCTCATAATAATTGTTTCAATAATTCATACTACTCATCTTCATCTCATAATCTCATAATAATTGTTTCAATAATTCATTATACTCATCTTCATCTCATAATCTCATAATAATTGTTCTAGATCCCATTCTAGATACATATCTGCTTTTTCTTTTGTTACTACACATATATTTTCATCTTCCAATAACTCATTATAATCATCATTACCTTCTAGGCTATCCTTGCGATGCCTTAATCTTGAGTAACAGTCAGCTACCTTATTTTCCTTACCGGGGATATATTCCACTTTAATATAAAAATATTAATAATTACCATCTAGCGATTTTACTATTCGCATTAGAGGTAAATAATAACCGTACCAAGGGTCGGTGATCAGTGTGAACCAATATAAGAAATCTTAGACATAATGTCCTGTTTATTTTCAAACCATACACAAATGCTAGTGCTTCTTTTTTCAATAGTACTATAATTAATCTCAGCCTTATTTAATTTTCTGCCAAAAACGTAAGTAGTCTCAGATTATCATATTCATCCTTTTGTCGCAAAACACCACCAATTGCAGTATTAGAAGCATCCGTGGTAAGATAAAATGTTTTTTCAAAATCAGAAAAATAAGCGTGATATGCTCTGACAATACCCTTTTGAGTTTAACAAATGCTTCTTCAGCTTCATTATTCCATTCTATGTATTTTTATTTTTATTTTTTATTTTTTCATTCTTGTGACCTTTTGTAAGTTTATTTAAGGGAGCTGCCATCCAAGCATAACTTTCTATGAATTTTCTATAGTTAGTCACCCCCAAAATTACTGTAATTCTTTTACTGTAATTATTTTTACTAGATGTGGACATCTTATTTACTGCTTCTATTTTATTTGGCTGAGGTTTTAATCCCTCTGCGGAGATGATACGTCCTAAATATTTTACACTTGTCGTAAAGAAAGTGCATTTCTTTACATTCACTTTTAATTTTGATTCCTGGAGTCTAAAGAATACCCTTTCAAGATTATCTATATTATCCATCAAATCTATACCTTGAATTATAATGTCATCTAAGTATACATGTGTATTATGGCTTTATGTTAGGTAAGGGATATGAATAATTTATAACATGAGTATCTAAATTCCTGAAATCTATACAAAGTCTTAATTTCCCTTCTCATTTTATTTACTGACACCAAGTGTGACTGAAAAGATGATCTTGAAGGTCTTATTATTTCATGATTTTCCATTATTTTAATTTGTTTTTTTACACTTCCACGAAAACAAACTGGAACAGGGTATAGCTTTCTAGGTTTAGGGGTTGATTCTAGTTTGATAGTATGATAATATAATGGAATTACACTTGGGGAATCATCATCGTTTGCAAAAGACTGATGGATATTTCATAATAAGTCCCTTTAGGATCTTGTTTCCATTACTGTTTACAGAAAACATGTCATCTATTGTCTGAAAAAGACAATTCTGTTGTTCCTCATTTTTTTTTTTTTTTTTTTTATGGTATTCACATTATCACACTGATCAACTGGCAAATATTCTATATTACATGGCTGAACAATTCCTAAGGTTCTCTTTGGTTCTCGCTCAATTTTCTCATTAGTCACATTCATATACTGTATAATGAATCAAGATTTTTAATTTTCTCTATCAGATACTAATTTCACTATCCCCGGACATAAAGTGTGAGATCCAGCATTTCCTACTACTGGCTCAAAAATGGCTATATCATAATCCACTAGACAGGTCTCTAGTACAATAAAACTTATATTTTCTTAAAAATAGCTGTATAATAATCCATTAAACTGGTTTCCAGTTCTATAAAACTTATATTTTCTCTTTCTAAATATTGTTGCATCTGCTACTGAACACTTGAATTTACTATTTTCTATAATCTCTTTTCGTGGCGTTTTATTTTCTTTCGGTATATGCAGTGCATGTTCTAACGGTATTTCAACTGTATTTAATTATTTCTTTCAATATAGAGCTTCAGTGGGTTAGTCTGAAATTTCACATCGTACCTTTTCATAAAATGCCAGCCTAATATCAATTGTGAAGTTAATTCTCTTTCTTCATTAATAATTAATTCATGAATATAATTTCTTCCTCCTATTTCTAGTGTTAATCTTGTTTTTCCTGCAATGGCCATAACATTTCCACTTGCATTACGTATTGCGGTTAAATCTTGAATTATTAAAATTTTCCCTAATGCTCTC